TGCCGGCCCTGCGCGCCGCGCGATCGCGGGCTCCCGGCCCGGCCGGCCGTATTTATAGGTGCGCGCGCCCCGCGCTCGCGCTCCGAAGCGCTCCTTGCAATAACACAGTATCACGTGTGGGGAATGAGACCTGGGAGGAAAACAAAGCCGCAGGCGGAGTCCGCAGCGGCGGGAGGCGACCGTGCAGGAGGAGGTGGAAGAGGAGGAGGAAGGCAGAGCCCGGCGCGTGGCAGGGCGGGGGCTCGCCCGACCGCTCCCCACGGTCCCAGCTGTTCCTGGGGCGCGCGGAAGCCAGGTGCTGGAGGCGAGCACGTCACTCCGGTACGCTCGGGCGGAGAATCGCGGGTGTCCACAGCCCGGTGAGCTACAGCCCCTGGGTTACAGCCCCAGAAGAGTTACGGGGCGATCACCTGGAGCCTTTGCACCGCGACCTAGTAACCGAATCTGGCGTTACCCATGGGCCTGGACACGCCGGTCCTTGTTAACAGTTACGTGGGAGGGCACACCTTCCTACGTGGACATTCCCACCGAAAGTGTGGCTGATCACTGGGATGTGCCCCCACTCTTTCGCAGACCCAGGCGAAGGCTGCCAAGATTAACGATAAAGGAAGGCACCTAGCTGCCTAGGTGTGTGGGCACCTTCTGTGTGATCCAGCTGATTTATACACACACCCCTGGTGCTCTTAGCAAAAGACAGCCAGGATTTTCATTTGGTCCCTGAAAACGTATTGCATTTTCTGTGAAGATCTGGGCGGGCTAAAATAATCTTGCACGCATGTGCCTGTCGTCACCTTGCAAATGTCCGCGAGTGTAGTCTCTTTACTCCTCTATAAACGGGGACAGATATGGACAGTTATTCCCATTTATTTCATAAACATCTGTTCGGCTCCTGGCTGTATGTTCCAGAAATACGGGTTCCTGCCTATGGACACAGCGACTCTGGCCCCACCCCCAACAAGTGGTTTTAGAACTTGCAACCGCGGGAGTACCCGGCTGCTTCCCAGTTCTCTCTGCCGGTTGGGTGACTTATTAAACACAGTATGGAACAACTGTCGCCCTGAATTAGGCCCCGTGACACCTAAGAAACCTTGCTACACTTCTCTGCGGGAGAAGCAAAGTGTTTAAGATGAACGGATTAATTTAATTAGAGGTTTAAATTTAGCCTTGGAGCTAATGGGTAACTCTACATTGAAATTCCACTCCATTTCAGCAGAGTAAATTAAGTAGCGGAGAGCAAGCGTTCGCGGCTCAGGGATGTGCTGCCAACCCCGACTCCTCCAGAGATAGGTGAGTTTGGGTTACACGTACTGGGGACAAACAGGTCACGTGGCAAACGCGTGAACAATTGTTCATATGTAATTCTGGGCCACATTTAGGCCTTATGAAAAGCAGAGACACTGTCTGCTGCCGACTCAAAGCAGTTAAAGTCTAGTGACCGAGTCTGGATTTCATCAGGTTTTTAATTACTTTAACTACCTTGAAACTTCAAGTCACTTTATTACAATTGACTTAATTTACCTGATCACGGGCCTAGCTTTTCTGGAAAGTAATGTTAAATGAGACTCCAATTCTGCCCCTGTGGAAAAAAGTATACTATTTTATAACAACAACAAAAAAAAAATGTTAAGTTTTAAAGAAATGGAGGGGGGATTACTAACAATGTCATTGTCCATGAAAATATTTTAATATTTTTTTGTTTTGAGTATTTTAATTTTTGTTTTGTTTTTTATTTCGTTTGTTTTGGTTTGATTTTCGAGACAGGGTTTCTCTGTATAAGAGTTCTGACTGTCCTGGAACTTGTTTTGTAGACCTGGCTGGCCTCGAACTCACTGAGATCTGCCTGCCTCTGCCTCCCAAGTGCTGGGATCAAAGGCGTGTATACCACTATTGCCTGGCCGAGTATTTTAACTTTTATCTTATTAAGACAGGATTTTTTTTATTCTGTCTTGAGTATGTTTTCGAACAAAAGGGAAAGGAAGCTGCTCATGCCTTGGGATTTTGCATGTTGTGTGGCGATCATCTTTCCATTTGGAATATCCTTCTGTAGCCTCGCCGATGGCTCCTGGTGCTCGACTAGATGGAGCAATGGTAAGTTACTAAACTCCTGCATTTCTAAGTTTGTTGGCCCCATTTCTGCCCTCAAGAAAGCAGCAGTGACAATCTTTCAGTCTTTCTACTATGAAGCAAGTCTGTCTATCTGTAGCTATCTGTGTTTATTTATTGCCTTGGGGACTCAGGATTGCACTCATCCTAGGCAAGCATTCCACCACTACGCTTTACCCCAGCTCTCTTTTCTTGTTTCTAAATTTTGAGACAGGTCTCTGGAATCTAGGGTGGCCATGAACTCCTGCCTCAGTTCCCAGACAGCTAGGATGACAGACCTATCACATGATATCCCAGACTATCATACAATATGAACGTTTTTTAGTTTAAATATCTTCCAGGGTGGATGGCACACCCCATCTTAAGGCCTTCTGTCCAGAGAAGATCTAATCTGCCTCCTGAAATTCTTGGTGGGTATGAATATGTTTTCAGCAAATCCATTTATTTGACCATTTGATATAACTCTGCTTATTTTAAGTTTCAAGTACGCAAATTGATTTCAAATGTTTATTAGATAATCAAACAGGAATCGATGTTTTTTTAGTCTCCATGTTTCTGTGATCCCCTGGTGGGGGTCCTGAGAGATGATTTATTGCTCCCTAACTGTGTATCAGCCATAGTGTACTGGACCACCGGTAGTGGTGAAGGGGCATTGTCATTGACATTTTAAAGGCAAGACAGAGAGAAATTGAGTAAAGCTATCTGGCCAGCACACAGATCCCACTGGCTCCCAGACCCGTGCATGTTTCTGCTCCCTCTACTGGTAAGGCTATTTTATAGGCAGAGTCAGTCTCCACATTTCATCCCATATTCATCCTTGAGAGTCGACTAGAATAGAAATACAAACTGTGAGGCCGGGCCGTGGTGGTGCACATCTTTAATCCCAGCATTCGGGAGGCAGAGCTAGGTGGATCTCTGTGAGTTCCAGGCCAGCCTGATCTACAAAGTGAGATCCAAGACAGTCGCAAAGCTACACAGAGAAACCCTGTCTCCAAAAACAAAACAACAAACAAACAAACGAACAAACAGAAAGAAACACAAACTGTGGAGGAAGAGATCTGGGCTCCTAGGGTAGGTCCTTAACCTCTCTGAACTCATTTCCTCTCTGGGTTGCTCCGGTTTTCAGAGGAACCCGCACAAGAAATGTCTGGTAATCCCTGATGTACTTTTAAATGCAAGGCATCATTAGCACCATCCAAATCTGCTTAGGTCCTGAATTATTCCAAATTCATTAATCTTTAACTTTTAGTTGTTGGATCATTTATTATTGAACAACTTCTATGTGCCCAGTGCCAGTGTGGGACAAAGGGATAAAAAAGTGTGGCTTGTATCTGCTCGTACCCTTGATGGTTAAAACAGGAAAACAGGAGCTCAAGGACACATTTAAAGGAAGGGTCTAAGCCAGCCAATTGCCAAATGAGCAAGAATTAGAATTGGAAAAGGGACTTGGGGGGGGGGGTTGAGTGAGGGTTTCTCTGTGTAGCCCTTGGCTGTCCTGGAACTCGCTCCATAGGCCAGGCTGGCCTGGAACTCAGAGATCCACCTGCCTCTGCCTCCTGAGTGCTGGGGTTAAAGGCGTGCGCCACCACTGCCCAGCTTTGAAAAAGGAGCTTTTAATTTGAAGTGAGACCTGTTAGGGGAGGCATTAAGCAAGACCAGAATTTGAGCTGGTCTAGGAAGTTCCTGTGGTCTGGACCCCACATGTGATAAAAGGTTTGGAGCTAGGCTGGGTTTTTAGAAGGTCGGCACTGTTGAGAGGAAGGTAGGTCATTGAGCGCATGCCCCTGAAAGATGTGGGATTCTGACGTTCATTTAGCATCCCAACCTTGAGGTGGGTGGCTTTGCTCACCTCATACCCCACCATAATGTGCTGCTTTATCATTGGTCCAAAAGCTTTGGGGGCAATCATTTATGACAGAAAGCTTCAAAATGATGAACTAAAATCAACCTTTTTTTAAAAAATGTATTTTTAATGTTTTATTGTGCACACACATACGTGTGTGTGTGTGTGTGTGTGTGAGAGAGAGAGAGAGAGAGAGAGAGAGAGAGAGAGAGAGAGAGAGAGAGAGCATGTATGTTTCCACCATGTGGCCTTGGGCATTAAATTGAAATCATCAGGCTTGGCAGCTGGAGCCTCTGTCTGCTGAACCACCTCTTTTAAATTTTTTCTCTGTGAGTTGATTAGCATTTGTTACAGAAATAGGTAACCAACTTCAGAGTCTTGCGTTTAAATCCCTTACGCACTGGAGCCATACAGGACTAGAAAGTGAAATACAATTCTCCCCTCAACCCACCCTCATTTTCACCTTCGTATCACCCCTTTTAACGTCTGGAAGCTTCCTTTGCCTCCATGGACCCAAAATGCATGCACTGTTTAGATCAACAAATTCGGCACCTGGGCTTTTACACACACACACACACACACACACACACACACACACACACACACACACAAGCAGAACCTGCATAAAACTGCTGACTCTTAAAAATAATCCAGTAAACCAGTAAGTCTGAAAATTGGCTTAGAAACGGCAGTGGACATCACTCAGAAGTTGACACAGGAGAAATAAGTCTTTAGACTCAGAAGCACCCAGGCTCTGGTGTCAGCGCGGGTCCTTATAAGCAGGTCGCCAGCTTGGACAGGTTCTCAGCTCCCTGTTTTGGTGTCCTGGTGTGTCAAGGTGGGGTTAGTGGCATTTTACCTTGCAGAGTTAGGAGCGTTGCCGGTGATGTGAGTTATGTAACCAGCACCCGGCTGTCTGGCACTCACAGATAGCTATTTTTAGAAAGATGCAAACTATAGGAGCCTCACAGAAGGGCCAGGATGCTTTGGGTCGTAGTTGTTTGTGGTTTTCCTCATGCAGGAAGGATCAGAAGAGACCCTGGCCATTGGCTCCAGCAGATCAGGTTATTTTACATTTGTTCCACCAAAGTGGAGCCCTGTCCCTCACTGCTGGGACACAGACTAGTGGGTCTAAAATTAGAGGCATGGTGTCCTGAGAAGCCTGCTTTCCCGTGCCCAGTGAAATGCCCTAAGACAAGAGAGGGGACCTGGGCCCAAGGCCCCATGCTTTGAGAAGCTGACCTTGCTTGAACATGTGTGGCCTCTGTTGCCTTGGGAGAATGGGGACAAAGAGGGAAGACAAGACAACTTGTCGTGGGAAGCTTCACTCCTTTCCTGGTTCTCCCCGGGACTTCTGGGATGGGATACAGCATTGGAGGGAAATCGGAAGCTGAGGGATATTAAAAAGAAGTCACTGGGTAGCACATAGCCCCATACAGCAGCTTATGAGCTGTGACTTGTAGCCCTCATCCCCATATTTCCTAAGTGCCAGTCCCATGCCAGGTTCTCAACTAGATTCTGTTACTTCTAGGGCAGGTGAGAAGTGGGCCTATCCTGGAGCTTCCAGCGGAGAAATTCAGGGTAGTGTCTGCACTCGGGTGCAGTGAGTGTTGACGAGAAAAGGAAGGAGAAAGTAAGGGGACAACAGGCTCCATGCCAGCCCCCGGCACGGCTCCCAGGACAGCGCTTCAACCACTGCTACCAAGGCCACTCTCAGGACAGGGATTCCTCTCTCTCTCTCTCTCTCTCTCTCTCTCTCTCTCTCTCTCTCTCTCTCTCTCTCTCTCCTTCCCTCCCTCCCTCCCTCTTTCTCTCTCTTTTTTTCGTTCGTTCATTCATTTTTTCGAGACAGGGTTTCTCTGTGTAGCCCTGACTGTCCTGGAACTCCCTCTGTAGACCAGGCTGGCCTTGAACTCACAACTTTTAATGAACTCATTAAAGGCATGCGCCACCACTGCCCAGCTCAGGCCAGGGCTTCTTAAACTCTTCCAATCACAACCCCTTTCGCCAAAGAAATTTTTATGTGACCATAGCACACAGGTATATAAAATATGTACACAAAACATTTACCGGCAATAAATCATGAAATTTGTTTAAAACAATTCTGATACTCATATAAATTTGCCATTTATTAAAGACGACTTTAAATTTATGCACTAGCGATGTATTTAAAGCTGAGCTCTGTCCGATATTTGACAGTACAGGACGCAAAGCGTCTTGGTTATTTTCAGAGTTGATTCATCAGTGCTGAGAACACCACCTCACATGAACACACAGCACAAAACAGTGGGCGTGGGTGCTGAGGAGACGGTGCGCACTGAGGAGCCGGTGCGTCTGTTAAGAGCACTCGTTGCTCTTGCGAGGACCCAGGTTTGGTTCCCAGCAGCCAGCTGGTGGCTTTCAATCATCCCTCATGCCAACTCCAGGAAATCCAGCGCCGCCCTCTGACCTCTGTGGGCACCAGGTCTGAGCTGTTTCAGGTAGTGAGCTACTGATCACTACTGTGTTGCCGGTGAGACCACATGCATGGTGACACATGTGTATGTTCTGTGTTCAGAAGCAAGGCCTCAGTGAAGTCCCAGGGCAACACAACTGAGCACTAACTCTGCTAGAAATACTAGAATCTGTTAGGTGTTTGATTTTTTAAATTTTTGGCTATTGATCATTCAGAAACCTGTTTGCAATCTCCATGTTCAGTTACTCAAGCCATTGGGGTTTCAACCCGCAGTTAAGAAGCAGAGGTCTAGGACAGTCAGTATCTCCCCACTTCCTTCCTTGACTTGACCTCCGAGTCTCTACTTCCTGCCTAAGAACTCATCATGTCCTCATCAACGGCACCAGCAACCTCCAACACTGTTCAAGCACAGGCTCAAACAACGTGGGACCACTGTTTTCTTTAGACACCTGAGGCCTGTGGGGACAGGAAGACATTGTTGTGGGAGAATCTTTTTGTACACTGTGAAGATGTGTCTTTGCTAAGGCACCTCTGACTGGTTTAATAAAAGAGCTGAACAGCCAATAGCTAGGCAGGAGAGGATAGGCGGGACTTCTGGGGAAAGAGAGGAACTCTGGGAAGGAGAGGTGGAATTTGCCAGTGAGACTCGGAGGGAGTTGGATGTACGGTATGGAGGCACATTGCAGAACATAGATTAATATAAATGGGTTAATTTAAGTTATAAGAGCCATGCTTTCATACTTAATGAGATGTCTCTGTGTCATTATTTGGGAGCTGGCGGTTTAAAGAAAGTCGACTACACAGTATTTCACTGCATTCCCTGTCAAGGACTGTGCACGGCCTTCTGGTTTTTATGATTTGTGTGCAAAGGCACTGGGTCTCTCCACTTGAGGAATGGACAGCTCCATAACTGAGCATGGCTGATTTGTTAAGAGTCATACTTTATGTCAGGAATGGCTCTCAGTGCCCCATCCACCTGGGGGCAGTTCTGGGCAACCCTTCCTCTCCTCAGTCTTGTTAAAGGACAGAGACAGTGGTGCAGGAGCATTTAGTCTTCAGTTCCCCTCAGATTCTTTCCTGGGTGGAGCTCAGCCAGTTGTAGGAGGAAGAGGGACACACAAGACCACCCCTGCTTCAGCCAGCAATTGGCTGCCCTTCCTGGGTCCCTTAGCTCAGGGCCCCATGAGCATCTCCTCAAGTATAATAATTGACTGTGATGCTCACAGAAATCAGGGAAATGCTCATGTCTTCCAGCTTATTAAAAGGATGTTGCCGAGGATCTCCCTGAACAGCTGAGTGAAGAGGTACACAGGTGACAGGCAGGGCCTTCATGGGAGCAGAGCATGCCATCCTAGCATGGTGGAGATGTGTCCCTCAGGCGTGCTGGATTAACTCTGGTCCCTCTCCCCAGAGGGAAGGGATGAGGCTCAAAGTTCCAAGCTTCTACTCACCTCAATGCCACAGAGTGTTCTATATTTTATAGAATATAGGAGCTCTGAGTCAAGACTAGGCTCCAAGACCAGATTAGAGCAAAGTATGCTTCTAGGCTCCTATCAATCAGAGGCTTATGGGGGATGGGGATCTCTGTGCTAGGAACAAGGACCAGAGACCAAATGTGTGTTTCTTAGTGTACCACACTGCCTCAGGCATTGACTGCCATGGAAGAAACCTGGCAGAAAAAACTGTCAGGAGAACTGATTCAGATGCTTTTGTGAGGAGGTCCCGGCAGAGTATTGTTCATTCCTAGACTCCCTGTGTGGTCAAGATGCAGAATTTAAATGATATTTTGATTGGCATAAGAAAATCCACAAGTTTTCTTTCTTCTATTACCTTTGCACTTAAAATATAACAAAGGAAAGCTAGTTTTATTTTCTTTGAAGTTAGACTGGGACACATGAAGAGCCAGCTTATAGACAATAAGAAGCCCCTTTTGCTGGAATTACAGCTTGTAAACACAAGACTTCTGGATGGCCTCTGTGTATACATGTGCCTCTGGACACAGACACATGAACATATCACAAGCGCACGCACGTGCGTGCACACACACCCACATATACCCCAGCACAAAGTAGGCCAGGCATGAGTCAAGGCTGCCTCCAGGCCTCTGTGTTCTCCAGCACAGCCAATCCCTTCTGTTTTTGCATTTCCTTGGATTATTTACACATCCAAGTGGAATTGAGGTGTCCAAGTTCTGTGGGAAGTGTTGCCAGTGTGCCTGCTGCTGGGATGCTCAGCTAGATGATGCTTATCCATGATGATGATGGCCCATGGGAGTCCTTTACAGTTGGATGTACAACTTCCCCGGAGAGGCAACTCACAAAGGTGAGAAGCAGATGGCTAGCAACCATCACTTGAGGGAAAGAGGCAGAACAGCGGAAGTGCAGATCAGAGCAACCTCTATGAGGAACCATTTGACAACTGTGTCAGGAGCCTTAAACTGTTGTCAATGACTGTTGAATGGGTGGTGCATGCCTGGAACCTCAGCCTGGAGGCTTCCACAGGAGGATTATTAGTTCAAGGTCAGTCTGGCTGCATGGTAAGAGCCTGGTTCACAACAAAAAGAAACAAAAGAGAAGAAATATTCAAGACCGAGCACATGGGTCTTTGTGGGAAGGAGGTTAACTTCCACTCTTGTTATGGCATGAATATGACTTGATCTTGCTGGAACTCATGTTGGAGTTTAATTCTCATTGTGTGGAATTGAGAGGGTAGAACTTAACCCAGCTATAGTGTTTAAAGATGGAGGCTTGGGGCAGGAAAGTTGTCTCAACAGTTAAGAGCACTGGCTACCCTTTCAGAGGATCTAGCTTTGATTCCTAGCCCCCACACAGAGGCTCACAACTGACTATACCGCCAGTTCCCGGGGATCTGACATTCTCTGGCCTTGGTAGACAAATGGTGGACAGACATTCATGTAGGCAAAACACCCAAGCATATAAATTAATAAAAATGTGAAATGTATTTTTTAAATGGTGGAATCTTTGAGAGATGATTAGGGTTAAATAAGGCCATCAGTGTGAGACCCCGAGAGCCAATCGGTTTATGAGAAGAGCATGGCAGGAAGAGGCCTGTGCCTGCTCCCTGTCCCCTGAGCTGTGATTCCCTGCTTCAAAACTGCCAGCAAGAAGGCCATCAGCAGATGCGGCCCCTTGACCTTGGTGCACTGCCAGGAGCCAAAACAAACATCCCTGTGACTCACCTGGCCTGAGGTATTATGCTGTTAGCAAGAGAAAACAGACAAGGAGAGCACACACTCATGTGTCCAGAGCATTGCTCTGCTCGTTTGTGCTTTGATTTTGTCATCTGTGGGGTGGAAATGATACACTCTCTTTCAGAACACTGCTGTGAAGGTTCAGGGTGTCAACCAAAAAGCTTGAATGCCCTGAGTATTGGGGAGAGATGTAGGCACTACCATAGTTCCCAAATGTGTAGAGAAAAACAGTCAAAGATTTATGCACACAAATATCAGTGCTAGCACTGTTTAAGGAAATAAACTTGAAAACAAAATGACCATATGTGAAATATGGAGAAGACAATGGAAGGTGACATTGTGCTTCATGAAAAAGTCTGCACTAATCTTTCCCACTTGAAATGAATGAGACTGTTTAACAATAAGAGGTGTCTAAGGATAGAGAACCAGGAGGTCAAAACACTAACTAGTAGGGATACAGCAACTTTCACTTGTCTCTTTTTGCTTATATGAATAGAAATAAGTGCATGGTCATATGATATTTTAAACAAGAAGTGACATGCTTGTTGAAAACCTAATTGGAAGAGCATCAATTTGGCCACATGCAGAAGGGATTAAAGAGAAACCTGGAGGAACAAGGAGGGTATGCATTCATTCTTAATTCAATGCCTGCTCTGTATCCACACCGCTGCACAAAGGACCCAGGCTCTACAGAGTTAGGCAAGCAGAGGGAGCAAGGGCAGGCTAGCTCTGTTTCCATACACACAGTTTCTTTGCATCAGCCACAGCCTGCTCTCTGCCCTCTATGAGATGAAGTCAGGGCTCTACAAAGCTAAGTGTGGTGATGATGCACCTCAGGTCACACAGTTGACAACTGGAAAGGCAGCCTGTGTTGTCTTAGCAGAGCTTTGTGTCAGGGACTACGGGCTATGACTCCTAGGGGCCAAAAAGGCCCCATAGGGAGAGTCCTATCTGAACTTAGACCCAGTTTACCTATGAGACAAGGGCGAAAACATAACGTCTACCACGACTGCTCAGGCCCAAGGCAGTAAAACTTGGACTTGGCAGTGAGAATGGAAAAGAAGGGTCAAGGTTCAGAGGCATCATGAGGAAAAACTGGCTTCAGGCTCTGCAACCTGGGGAGCAGCAGTAACTCCCCAAAGGACTAAGGGTTCCAGGAAAGAAGGACAGATTTCAGGGTGAAACATTGGCTCATTTGGCATGAGTTAATTTTCTACCTTCACAGAAGGGACGATAAAGAGGCTAAGCCAAACTTCCTGTGGTAGGTAAGCCACAGTTGTACCCGTCTTTGTCCTCTTGAAGGAGAAGTAGGCTTTGAGTTTTACCGGCATGATTCTCCAGCACCGTCACCTTCCCCAGACCATGGGCAGCTGAGGACATTGGCTTCTGGAGACTCCTACCCTGGACAGACCTCACATAGCGTCGTTTCTTATCTGAGGTTGCTCCTTCCACCTCCGTGACTACTGATCAACCATAATCCAAAATAGTAAATTTGTCTCCTCTCTTTCAAGAGAGAGCAGTTGTGTTCACATACCTCTTGTTATCTAACGCTGCTGCCACTGTTCAGCTTTATTATTAGTTTCTATCTCTTACTGTACTGAATTTATAAACTAACATTGTCATAGGGTTGTGTGTATAAAAAAAATACCTGGTCTGTATAGGGTTTAATATCATCTGTTTCAGGAACTCACTGAAGGGTTTAGGATGCACCACCTTTGGGAAAAGGGGCATTGGTGTTTTGTGAATTTGCATTGTAAATCAAAGCAGAACCAGCATCCAAAGGCTCACACACACCTTAAGACACACATAGCTTGCACATAGTAGGCCTCTATTCACTAGGCTATAGCTGCAGCCCTTTCAGAAGCTTTGTTTTGAGGAATCTGGGGAGATAGTTTAGTTGGTCAAGTGCTTGGCCTGCAAGCCTGAAGCCCTGAGTTCATTCCCTGGAACCCATATTTAAAAAACAAAACAGGCATGGCATGATGACCACGTTTATAATCTGGATGCTTGGCAAGTGAGGAAGACAGATCCATGGGCCTTAGTGGCCAGCAAAATTAAGTTACCGGACAAGCTCCAGGCCAGCAGTGAGCCCTGTCTACAGAAGAAAAAAAAAGCAGAGGGGAGCCAGAGAGATGTAGACATGGAGTCCAGAAATCATCAGGGTCTCTCACCAAGACTGAGTCCTCTCATGGAGTCCAGAATTCAGCAGGGTCTCTCACCAAGATTGAGTCCTTTCATGGAGTCCAGAAATCAGCAGGGTCTCTCACCAAGACTGAGTCTTCTGGAGACCTGAGTTCCTCACCTACAAGGTGGAGATAACCATCTGCATTGCAGAGGACTGTTGCGAGCATTAGAGAGCACAAATAAGGAGCTGATGAGATGGCCTGGTGGGTAAGAGCACTGGCTGTTCTTCCAGAGGACCTGGGTTTGGCTCTCAGGAACCACATCAGTCATTTCACAACCAGCTATAGCTCCAGTGGGTACCTGTCCTGTCCACATGTAGTACACACACACACACACACACACACACACACACACACACACACACAAGTTAATGGCAGAATACTGGGGGGGGGGAGGTTAGTTAATGCCAGAATATTTTTAGTTGCCTCAGATATGGAGCAGCACTTCTAAGTATGGCATTAAAACCCAGAGCATGAAAACAAAAGGGAATTCATCTACAAAGTGTTACAAATGACAGTTTGGAGGGAAAATTTAAAAAAACAAACACTAGAGGGAAAAATTTTCTATTCATATCACAAAAAGTGTATTTCTTTCCTTTTTTTCTAGGTTGGGGAGTTGGCCTAGGGCTTCCCTCATGCTAGACAGGCACTTGAACACTGAGATACACTCCTAGCTCCCCTTTCTTATGACTGCTAAGAGAAATCCAAAATATTGATAAGAAAAAAGCCGACAAATACAAAGGGCTCTTCACCACAAAAACAGATGCCCAACTTCTGCTAACAGAGGCAAACAAACGCATGAGCGACATGTTTCAACACTCAGGTTGGGCGGACGGCAGACAGTCTGAGAGTACCTGTCGTCTGCTGTGCACTGTCTCAGGTGGGGAGGTGCAGAGGTTGCAGAGCCTTGAATGTAGCAGAGCATGGAAGGTCGATTCAGCGACGGGACGCCATGGTCTGTCTTGTGAGTGTTTTTAGGAATGTCCCTGCAGGTGCACACCAGCATGGGTAGAGAGGAAAGACATCAAGGGTTGTATTGGTTGGGCTCTTGTTTAAAGTATTACACTAAGCTACGTATGTACGAAGCCATGATAGGGCTAGTTAAATTCTGGCACATCCATATCATGAAAGAGTTTAGCTGTTAAGCTAGGCAAGGGAGTTAAGGATGGATAAGATTTGTCGATAAATCACAGTAAAGATAATGGTCACTGGGCTGGCTAACTTGTCTACATCTGAAATTAACTGAAACCCATGGCTGGTCACACCTGTGAGGGATTTTTGCTTCACTGAGTCATTTGAAGTGAGGAGAGCCACTTCTGATCCAGCTCTTTGAGGTGGGAGGACCTGCCTTTAATCTGGGCCCCACCACCTGCTGGCGGCCTAGACAAAGGACCCAGGAGCAGGAAGAGTGCTCTGCCTGCTGGTTTTCATTCTCCATAGTCCGTTCCTTTGCTGGCATTAGAGCCTACTTCTTCGGATTCTGGCGTACACTGAAGAACAGTTGAGACATCCAGTTGAGACATCCAGCCTCGTGGACTGAAGAACTGCTGGGTTCTTGGACCTTCTGTTGACAGAAAGTTGGACCACAGCCTGTAAGTCATTCTAATACAACCCCACATTGTGTGTGTGTGTGTGTGTGTGTGTGTGTGTGTGTGTGTGTGTATCTGTCTATATATATTCTAAAAGTTCTGTTCTTCTAGTTCACTGGTTCTCAGCCTTCCTAACGCTGTGACCCTTTAATAACAGCTCCTTATGCTGTGGTGACACCCAACCATAAAATTATTTTCATTGCCACTTCATAACTGTGATCTTACTAGTGTTATGAATCACCTGTGTTTTCCGATGGTTTTAGGTGACCCCTGTGAAAGAATCATTCAACCCCCAACTAAGGGGGTTGCAACCCTATTTATCACAACCCAATGCCAATTCTCCTCACACATCTACAAAGCCTATTGTGAGCACCCAGGGTCTAGACTACTTATTCCTGCTGGATACCACTGGGTTTCAAGAAGATTGTAGGACTCAGTATATGTGCTGTGCAGACCCCAACAGATGTGGTTCAGGTGTGTGACCTGGCATCAAGTTGGTCTGGGTGCTGGGGATTAAACACAGAGAAGCAAGGTGAGCAGGTGCTCGACCACGTGGCTACATCTCCAGCCCTAGAAGCAGTTGTTGATTTGGTCTGCATGCTGGGGATTGAGCCCAGAACCTCCAGCAAACTGAGCAGCCCCTACCATTCAGAATCCAAAACTCAGGGCCTCAGCCTGGACTGGGTCCTGAAGTTCCTCCTCAGGTATACCAGCATGGAAGCGTGGAGTCTTGAGCTGTCTACCTGCCTCGTGTGGGGTCTGTGGTCTTGGGCTCTGCTTTCCAGGCCAGCAGAGTAGCTGCTCGTGGGACAGGCCACAGTCCCTCTGGTGTCCTGCGGATCCCCAGAAGCAGGTGTGAGAGGCAGGCAGCAAAACAGTGAACTCCCCTTCCAAAGACCCTCCCCAGGGCTCAGTGAAGCTCATGGGCGACAAATTAGACACAGCAGCATTATCCACAGCAGCTGGAAGATGGAGCTGCGCACATGGCCATTCTACTATGAATAAACCAAACGGGGTATGCATACACAGTGGAGTATGATTCAGCCTCCAAAAGGAAAGACATCCTGATGTGTGCTGAAACCTGAGTGAAACTTGATCATGATGAAGTAAGTGGGTCATAAAGGATCAATAACATCTGATTCCACTGCACAGGGCACCTGGAACTGTCCAAGACAGAGTGAACAGTGGTCAGCAGGATTGTGGGAGGAGGAGGAGTGGGAAGTCAGACGGAGTGGGAAAGTTTGGGTGAGTCCCCTGGGTGAGCAGTAGTGGGGGGTGGATTTATCACTGCAGAACCACTTTTACCATGGTGAAGAGCCACATGGACCCGTGCTGAGAAGATGGCTCAGCGCTCACAGGCACTGGCTGCTCTTGCAGGAGACCTGGGTTCGGTTCCCAGCACCCACATGGTGGCTCACAACCCTCTATAATTCCAGTTTCAGGGGATCCAGCACCAATTCTGGCCTCTGTGGACACTGTGTACATGTGGTGCACACATATACACACAGACAAACACTCTTGCACATAAAGCAAAAATAAAGAGATGTAGTGATAGTTTGTGTATGCTCTAACAAATAAAGCTTGTCCAAAGATCAGAGGGCAAAGCCAGCCACTAGTTAGCCATAGAGGCCAGGCAGTGGTGGCCCACACCTTTGATCCCAGCACTAGGGAGGTTGTGACAGGCAGTGATATGCTGAGTGGAGCAAAGAATATGAGGCGGGAGGAAAAGGGAGCTCAGTCTTTTCGGCTGAGGAGCTGGTGAGGTGAGAAGTTGCTGTGGCTTGTTCCTTTGTCTCTCTGATCTTTCAGCATTTACCCTGATATCTGGCTCTGGGTTTTTATTAAGACTAATTAGGATTCATGCTACAAAGAGACCCTTTCTTTTTTAAAACCAAAAAAAAAAAAAAAAAAAAAAAAAAAAAAAAATCAAAAAACAAAAGATTGGTTTCTTTTGTTTTTATGTGCATGGATGCTTGGCCTGCATCTAAGTATGTGACTTACATGCATGCCTGGTGCCCTTAGAAGTCAGAAGAAGCTGTTAGATTGCCTGGAACTGGAGTTAGTTATGGTTGGTTGTGAGCTACCACGTAGGTGCTAGAAATGGAACCTGGGTCCTCTGCAGAAAAAACAAGTGCTCTAAACCAGAGCTATCCCTCCAGACTCTTTTACCTTTTTTGTTTGTTTGTTTGTTTGTTTTTTGAGACAGGGTTTCTCTGTGTAGCTTTGCTCCTTTCCTGGAACTCACTCTGTAGACCAGGCTGGCCTCTGACTCACAGAGATCCACCTGCCTCTGCCTCCTGAGTGCAGAGGGATTAAAGGCGTGCGCCACCACCGCCCGGACTTCCTTTTGTTTTTGTGTTAGGTATTGAAACAAAAGCACATGCTTGCTAGCCAAATGTTTTCATTTTCACATTATAAACTTTAAACATTTTAGCAACTTTTACGAGCTTGAATTAATAGCTTAAAATGCATAGTATTCAGTTGTATAAAAATGCTTTCTTGGGGGCTGGAGAGATGGCTCAGAGGTTAAGAGCACTGGCTGCTCTTCCAGAGGTCCTGAGTTCAATTCCCAGCACCCACATGGTGGCTCACAAC